TAAATACAAAGTATTATCTGTATATACCATTTATAAAAGAAATGTAAATCATAAATCTTTCAAGTTACTGTAAAATAACAAAATATACAATGTAAGCTGCCAAAGTATACCTTAAATTGAATGAAAAGTGACTAGAACATATACAAAGAAGCTTTGCAATTAATTACTATTGTTACTCCTTCAACCATTACTCCTGTACATTTCATTTTACTTTGATGGATTTCTATAATGTCTGAACTATACAAGACAGATAATGAAGGCAAATTTAATTTCTCAGACTCAGCAAGTTTAATAAAATATAGGTCACTAAGTACTTCAAAACCAATAGCACCACTCTGTACTAATGAAAATCCTACTTTTGCAACTGACAAACTAAGCCCCGCCTATTAACCTTCATTCATTGCAAATATTTTTTTTCTGGTTTATTTTCCAATTACCTTTACCAATGTCATTGTTATTGAACAATACTGCACACACTAAGGGGCTAAGCTAATAACAATGAATTTAGCCAATGAGGGTGCACTGTAACATATTACATATACCTAGATATAAACTATTTGTCTGATTTATTCAATATTGTTATAATTACCAGAAGTAAACAAAAGATCCACTCCTTCAAGTATGATAAAGTTTTCCATAGCATAAACAGCCATCAGAATACTCCGTGGAAAAAAGTAAATTTCATTTTTGGTTTCAAAAGGCTAAATGGAGTAGTGCTACCTGCCTTATATGTACCTTTGATGAGAACAAAAACAATAAAGTTCCCATAAGCTATGAACATGTAAGAAATAAATCAGAGTTAACAAAAGCTCCAGCCAAGGCCAGCTCGAATGGAATGCTGTTTGAGTACTGCAAAATAATTCATCTGTTTAGGTAAACAAAAAAAATAATAATCAATTTGTAATGACAATAAAAAAGAGATAAAAAAATGCAGTCAAGTAAAAACAAAGATGCAATTTGTAATAAAAGCCTTGCATTATCCATGTGTTAATTTGCACCAGTAATTATAATAATACCCATTGGCATTTCAGCAAACACTATAAAAATGAAACGTGAAAATATAACAATACATACTATTTCAATCACATGAAAATTATAAATTTATAAATGGAAATCCAAAATGTAATGTAAGGAATACATTAGATAGTAATTTTAATCATAATTATTATTATTCATATGCCACTTACTGTCTGATATAGGCTAAAACTAATAGTAATAATAACAGTAATAATGATGATAATAATAATAAGTTATATGAAATGTTAAATCCCATAATTCTAATGACAAAATGTTCATATAATCAAAAGTTTGATTCCATACTACATGCAGGAATCAACACATTTATGGTTTCTGTCTGTTATTTAAATCCGTGAGTCAAGGTGTATAGATGCCTGAATACAGGTTCAAGCATAACAATGAATTATACAAATTATTCTGTCATAAAATTTCTCTTTGTGTCAAATTCTGAGCTGAAAGAGAATAAAGGTCAATATCAATCCTCTTCAGTGGCATCTACAGATGAAGCAAGATGCCATTCATGGTGTTCACCGTTTACATACACCCACAGGGTGAAATGTGTAGATGCCTTGCATGCAGGATCAAAACCTCCCATGGATTATATAAAGTATCTCCAGCAGGCTAAATTACAATTACTCTTTTCCATTCTCATAAAATCTGGTCACTATAATACAAATATACTACTAAAGCTGCTCACACACGAGGATGAATTCATATAAATGAATACCTATCCACATCAGTATTCACTTCTTGAGACTTTATTTAAAGAGTAATATTTGAAAAAAAGAATAATCTAAAACAAATAAACAGTTACTATATATAAAATAATATACTTTACCAAAAAATCTAAAAACATTATGGCACATTCAATAAGGAACTATGGAAGCACACAGCAAATAAAATAATTACTAATAATTTCTACATACAAGTAATCAAAACAAAACAATTTTTCTACATTATTGCACAATGTATGGCATTATGGTGTTTTATATTTATAATAATGATATTGATAATTTTTTTTTTACTAAATCTAAAAAAAAAAAAAAAAAGTGAAGGAGTATGTCGCCATTCCTGTAAAGTCCAAATACATGCCTCCATCTGTTTCAGAGCTGTATGTACTTACATGGTGACACAATTATCAGCACTTTTTTATTTATAGAACTCATAACAGAGATTTAAATTACACAATACAACTAGAAACTCAGATTAGCCAATGCTACCAGGATGCCATGTCCACTATGTTTTTAGTTTACTAGTTTACTAATCATGTTTACACAGAGATGATTCCACAAGAGCTAAGTCACAAAGAAGTCAATTAAAAGTCCTACTATTGCACCTGGTTTCTCTTTCCCTTGATGTTCAGAAGAATTATATTTTATCTTTTATTGCTAGTATCATTTTACTGACATTATATTAATCATAATGTTGACAGTAATAATAATAACAGTATATATATTTAAGGGATGGGAAAATCAGGTGAGGTTATATAGTGCCTACTCCTTGGTTACTGAGCACTTGTGAAGTCACCTATGTGTAAACAAAATTCATAAAACAAAAATACAGTGGATATAACTATTCAGCAGCAAAGAGTTGATTATATTAGTGATTACTTTCCAAAGGATATTATAGTTGCATTATAGTAAAAAAAAAAAAAAAACTGCGTGTTACGGAATGATGCAATTAACAATGGTCCCTTAAAAGCCCTTGTCTTGAATTTCATTTTACCAAACATTTATATAACAACTTGCAAATATCAGAAAGTTAACTAAAATCAAATCAGAAGAAAAATGAAATTGGAAGACTGGGTACAATAAAAAAAATCTAATTTCTTCAAACAGTTGCATATACCTAAATACCATTTAACTTTACTGGCTTTTAAGCACTACACAACAGATGAATCAGTTACATGCAAGACACAATTAGTGAATAGGACTAAACTGTGTTCTTTGTTTACACATGAGAGATTTGGTCTGACATTATGGGAAATTGCAATGAGAGGTTCTACTAAAAGTACTGTAATCACCTGTAGTGGTTGGGGTCCACATGTGCATATTCATCAAACAGTCAGATAATGCTCACAGTAGCAAATGGCAACAGGAACAACTGTATAGTAAAGATTAAACACCTGCTAAGCCTTCTGCACAAATATTCAACTCAACCCTTTGGAAAGGCATTATCATTTTATTCATAAATTGCACTGGATTTCCATAGCAATCTTTAAGATTCACACTAGGTACCTACAGTACATGGAAAAAGTCTGAGGAAATCTTGAGCTTTCTAATGAGTGGTTGGATATCCATTTACTTTCCACATTTATTAGCCAGCCATATGCTCACATCTTCAAATACAATGATGGTGCATGAGATATCATAGAGCAGACATTTAATATCAGCCTTTTTCACTCTCATGCCTCTGTTACTGTTTTCTGCCCAAACCAAAGAATAGTTACAAGTATCTTACCCAGCAAGCAAAATCATTTCTTTGCCTGATGGAGGATAAATATTGATGAAGGATATTTGCGACTATGCAACAAAGAGCAAACCAGTAATTTTGAGCATACTTTCAAATCAGACTAAGCCTCAGATTAAGCTCCACTTATAATCTAAAAGAAAAGCATTCAGAAATCCACACAAAATAACCAAATGGTGATGGGAAATCACAATGTCTGCTGTTGTTTTCTTTTGTGAATTTTGTTTGCACACATATGGCTCTACAAGTGCTCAGCCACCAAGGAGCCAATTAGCAAGCCTATTTATTTTTAACTAAACTCTCCTTTCCTTGAGTTTTCAGGATAAATATTTTTATTTTAATGCAATCAATATCAATGTTGACATAATGATTTCTATAATGTTATCAATAATGCTAATAGCAATAAAAAATATATTTTTTAATGAAAATCAAGGAAAAGGGTAAAAAGGTGATCAGGGTAGAATTAGTGACCAACTGCTTGGTGATTAAGCACTTTTGGAGCCATCCATCTTAACCCATTGGCGCCGGGTGTCACGTACGTACATGCCATGGCTGTTGTGGACCAAACGCCGGGGGCATCATGCCATGCCCATTCCCGTGCTACTGGCTCGTTGGACGGAGGTTGTTTTTCTCCACTAGTAGCGGCTTCATTTATATGGTAAAGATGGCACCTAAAGTGAAGGTAAACCTTCAAAATTTTAATATTTTTATAAATTTTTGAAAAATCAAAGCTTTTAGGTGCTATATGTCGCTCGCAAACTACCGATTGAGCCGGGCGCAAACAGGGGAAACTGCCAGTGCGTGCCAACAAGCCGGTGCATACGTAAACCTTACAAAATTTTTACCCGTCGCTGATGGGTTAAAGACATATTAAAAAAGATGACACTCTGGACTTGAAATGTATTCTTGCCATCCTGTCAACAGTGGGTTAAGTTTCTATGGAGTGAAATTTACTTTAAGGCATATTCTTAACTTTTGCATATATATTGAGCTTCCCAGCTCACTCACATATATCCGCAGGCTCCCTAGAGGTAAGAATGCAAGCCTTCTGTAACTGAATAAGGTCCTTGTAACTTCCTCTGTGATGTAAACAGTAAAGGAATCAAAAGAAATAAAGAAAAAAAATAGTGGATCATAATCAAGTAACACATCAATCTCTCCTATAATGTCCCATACAGCAACATTGCTTTTTACAGTCTTGCATACAGCATTGCTTTTTGTCTTTGCTCGAGCATGTGGTAGCTGGTACACATAAGCAAGTAGTGGACACAAACCACTGTGTGGAAAAGGCCTGAGAGTTTTCATACTTTCCATGGTTCTGTATGTGGAAATCATTTGTTAAAATATATTTGCTACAATATGCCTTATACATATTGTATACTCTAAAGATATTGCAATTATATTTTCTTTGAAAGAAGTTCTCCTGTATCAGTTGATGACAGCATGCTAAACCTTGAAAATGAGATTGTAATTAGACACACATAATCTCTCTCCTTAGTAAAGAAAAACCTTTTTTTCCGTATATATATATACATATTTACTTATGAACTATAAGTAAATATCAACACCTCATTTTTTTACTTTTGATGTTTTAGATATGACAAGATCAGCTGCAGTACTTGTAACAAGCTGCAAAAAAATCATTCTAACCATGGCTTTGGTACCAACTTAAAAAGTAAAGATATGAAAGAAAGAAAAATAACTATTCTTTTACTGTACACACAAAAATGTTTTTGAGTCCTGATCAACAGGTAATAATAATAAATATGATAATTTCTGTAAGCTGCCCATCAACAAATAATCAATATCAAAGATAGAAAGATAAAGGCTACACAGCAAGAATATATACAAAAGTAGAAAACACTACATTCACCCCTGTCATCTAAGCCTCACCAGAGACCCCAGTGCCTTTAGGTAAGCACTGTGGATCTTCCCGCAGTTTGTGTTGGTGGTTTTGATGAGATAACGCTGCATTGGGTAGTATAGGTTCTGCCTCAGATCGTCACCAAGTTTATACTGATTGGAGGAAAAAAATATGATGAATATCATAATTTGTAAAAGTAGTGTAATTTTTTGGTAAAATAAAATAAATTTCATTTATTTACAGTACAGTGTTTGATAATAAGCAGATTTACCAGCTGGTTTAATACTACACTGATTTAATACTCAATGGCAATCAAGAACGCACATTTCATTAAGTTACACGTATTCTCTTTCTTTTAAAATACTGTTGGCACTTTCCAAAAATTATGGGACACTGATTGATGCCCTATTTCCATAATGTAAAATATATCATTAGATTGTTCCAATCATGCTCATACAGAACAGTACAAACTGACCTCCTCCCAAGCACGATACACTGCTCGAAAAGCTGGTTGTTTGTCACTATGAAAAGTTCCTCTGTTTCCATGCAGGACAAAAACTCCATGCTTCTCAGCTGCTTTACATACACTCATGTACATACAATGATCTGGTCGAAGGTTGTACTCACAGCCATAAACATAGAGCTTGTCTGGAATTGTGAGAAGTTAGGGCATAATAATGTTAAATAATTTCAAAATATTGATTAGAATATGTCAAGTATGATTCAACATATTGAGCTTGTCTGGAATTGTGAGAAGTTAGGGCATAATCTTGGAAT